ACACACACACACACACACACACACACACACACCACCATCCACCTCCACAGCAGGCTGCACAGACAGGCTGCATGAATATTTATCAGAGAAGTTTATAATGAGTTCATACATTAGACCAGCATTTGTTTCATATTCTCACGTATCGCAGGTTTGGTGGCGATTCCAGTATCCAGCTGATTTCTCCACTCATCAGTATGCGGAGCGGTGACCCGCGCTGTGGCCCGGTCACGTCCCCAGGGCAACAGGGGCTTGCCTTCTCGAAATGCTACCACGGACTGAAAAATATTTTTAATATTGTCATGTGCCGTCCGCCGTTGAATCAATTTCAAATCAAAGACATCTCATCGCTAAAGATTAGGTTACTCACTAAGGTTACATTTTTCTGCTGGCTTTCAGTTGAACAAAAAACATAAATGTCAGTTCTAAAAATGCATTAGGGAGAGCAAGCCACTGCTAGTGCTGTTCACAACCTTTCAAACCAAATTCATCAACTACACACACACACACACACACACACACACACACACACACACACACACACACACACACACACACACACACACTTTTCTACTGCCCACAAGCGCACAAACCATTGTCGGCAGTAATGCCTCCTGTCCTGTGTGGATTTATTACTGTGAGAGCAGAATATGTTGTGATTGGAACAGAGTGCTGTTCAGTCACATATATTAAATACAAAACTTGAACAATATGGTGCCTGTTTGTTCACCTGTAAGGCCAGGCGAGGTGATTTTGATTGACTGGAAAGGCAATTCTTTCTGATTTTGTGTGTATGCGTAGCTAGTGTTTGTTTGACCTGTCCTCTAATAGTTGGTCTGCATTTGACACATGCAGAGACCCACCGTGGACTCCCTGCTAGTTATAATTGTGTGATTTATTGCTGACAAAAAGAAAAAGAAATTGGAGAGAGGGGAGCCAATTACAGAGCTGTAATATCTGCGTCTTGCCTCATATCCCCTGCTCTGTCAACTTTCCTCTACAGCGATATGAGCCATGTTAGCCTTGACGTTCATTAATGACTATTACCCCGTTTATTGTCCATGTGGGCCCACTTAGTACCTGGTTTTGTTTGGCTGGGGTGGGTAACTACCTGAAACACTGTGTTCTTATCTAATTGGCCGATGCCTTGTTGCATCTGTACAGTAACAGAGGGTGAAGCAGTCATAACCAGGCAGTAAGGACAGAACAGAACAGTACAGAAATGTACTCTCCCTCATCCTGCTGTTATTAGTAAGAATGTGGTTTCATATCCTTTAAAGTGTAAATAGACAACTCTGTTTGCTATAACTTATTATTGTGAAGTAAATGTTGATAGGCTATAGAATAACACGTTTAGATTGGTTCCCTATAAGTGAGACTTGTATATAGATTCATGCTTTTCCTCCTGTTTTCTTCTCACATTACCATTACTCCTCCCTGACGCCAGACCCTGCTGCAGTTACTTGTTCCTAATAATGTTGTTTGTTTCCACTTTAAGAGCGTTTCACTGGGTCTGTCAGTATTGTATGTGGTTTAAAAATTAGCCAATATCTTTTGAGATGTTTACCACAAGGTCTTGCGGTCACTTGCAAGCAATAGACCTTTTTCACAGCAGCCATTTTGAAATTGATTTGAAATTGTAGGGTAAACACAGGTGTTACCACTAATACCATTTTTCTTTTTACCAAGAAAGATGAGCTGATGCTTTTTCCGAACTTATCTTAAATTGTTACTTATTTAGTCATGAATTACAGAGAGAGATACTTCAGATTTTAAACCAAGGCTTTGAAATGTCACCAGAAACCAAGGAAATATTTGCATTTGAAAATCCAGAACCAGTATTCTTTTTTTAATTTTTGCTTTAGAAAATGAAATAAATGATCATCATGATTAAAAGCATTGATCAAAATAATCCTTTGATCAACCAATCGATTAACTTACTAATTGTTTCAGCTGTTCTATTCTTTTCTTTTGTATCTTGATAACACATACAGGTGTTGTTAAATAAATCTGAATTATAGGAGTTTGTAAGGCTGTGTGATCAGTGAGAAGTACCCACAAACTCCTTAAAATACTTTGTAGAAATTAGCCGTTTTCCTGCATCTGAAGCATTTTTTCCCTTTCACTTTTTAATTAAATGTATACACACTGTCAAATATATGCAAACACACATTTTCCCCATGTTAAATATGTTACATTCAGAAAAGGTTCCCCATACAACAAGGTTTAGGAAAATCTGAAAAGTGGGGGGGCGATTGGACCTCAGGGGTGTTGGGCTGGTAGAGGCTATCTGCGGTCCACCCGTGTGTAACTGATATGGATGCTGTGTGCGCTGGTGTGGCTAATAGAGCAAATAGTGGGTGAGACGCGAGGGCTGGCTGACGGGGAAATGGGGTCATTTAGTGTCATAACCTCGCTCGTGTAATCTACAGTTTAATACACGCCCTTTGTGTTTCTTTATGAGACATGCTTTGACTCACTGTGGGACTTTTTAATGGCCTCATCTTTCTGAATGATCATTGGAGTTACACAGTGCGTTTGCTAATATAATCTGTACCCTGTGTGTGTGTGTGTGTGTGTGTGTGTGTGTGTGTGTGGTGTGGTGCGTGTGTGTGTGTGTGGGGGGGGGTGCCAGTGTATGTGAATTTGCGCGGCTGCAGGCTACTCTGTGTAACAGGGAGAAGGGTGTGTGTTTGCATGAAAAAGAGTGTATTTTCTACGTTTGTGTGTGTGAGAGTTCACATGTACAACGTGTCAGAGGTCTCTATGGTAACGTGTGTGTGTGTGAGAGGACTTGGTGTGTAAAATAAAGCCATTTTAAGGACTCGCAGCAGAGTGAGTGGTACGGCGGACTACATCACTGCATTTACATGATCAATGCTTATTGCCAAATGTGTGTGTGTGCTGGTGTGAGTGTGTATCTCTGTGTCCATCAACTGTGTCTGTATGTGTGCGCATGTAGGCCTATTTTAATTGTTGTCATGGAAACAGAGTGCTGCCAGAGAAGTCCAGATTCAAAGAGGGCACTCTCTCTCTCTCTCTCTCTCTCTCTCTCTCTCTCTCTCTCTCTCTCTTTCTGTCTCACTCAGTGACTTTTTCTCCTTCTCTTCTCTTCCATTCCTTTTTCTTGCCTTTCTCTCTCTTCTGTCGCTCCTTTCTTTCTCTCCCCTCGGATTTCTTTCATCTTTCTTACGTCTCACCAAGGTCCCCCCTTGGTTTACACTCTCTGTCTCTCTCTCGTTTCCTCCCACTCCCCCCCCCCCCCCCCTCCTTCTTTGTCTCCTCGTGCCTCTTATCGTCCCTCCCTCATTCCTTCCCTCCCACCTCTCCATCCTTCCTGGAGAGTGGTGTGCAATTGACTATTAACACAGGGACCTGTAATTAGAGCTGACGAACCTCCAGCAATTAGTTTTCCCTAAAGAAGTTGTTCTGTCATCTCCGCATACATCTCTTTATCCCTCTCTCAATCTCCTTCGTGCTTTTTCTTCCTCTCTGTCATTTCCTGTCTTATTAGCTGTCAACTTCACAGGGTGGTTATTGTTTTAGTGTTTTTGTTCTTCTTTGTACCTTCCATCTGCCTTGTTAAAGGCAGTCATGTATGAGATATACACACAATACACCACTCAGAACAAGTTTATGAGCAACTACACCCCCACTGTCCTGGGTATCTCTGCCCACAAAACCAAAGTGAACATCTATTCCTACCGACTGTACACCTACACCGACTATATGCTGAGAAACTCAAGAGGACACATGTCCTCCCACACACAAGGATGTAAACATACAGAGAACACACACATCTTCCTCAGAAAGCTTCATTTTCATGTCTTCCTCCGTCTGCAGCTGCATTGCCGTTGTCTCACCTTGCTACAGTCATCTCTTTTCTCCTCTCCTCCTCTTGTCTTCTCTGGATCTTTCCCCTCTCCCTCTTTCTTTTTGGTGTTTTCACAAGGCCCAAATGGCCCTTCCTCCCCTCTGCATCCCCATTAATGAAAAGCTCTATAAATAAGCACAGAGGAGAGGGGGTCGGAGAGAGAGAGAGAGAGAGAGAGAGAGAGAGAGAGAGATACGGTCAAGTAGAACGTGTGAGGGAGGTGGAAGGATGGAGGGATGGACAGCAAACGGCTGCGAGTGCTAAACTAGGCCAATAGGGGTTGAGGGAGGAGGGCGGGTATCATATCAAAGTCTTGCGAGTTGCTCCGAGCGCCTCTGCCGTCAATCACTTAATCAATTTCGGCGTCAGTCAGTTTGTCTGCGTCTCGGGTTGGTGTGTCACTCATCTCGCTCCAGACAGTTTGTCAGTCAGTCGGAGTTGGCGTGGAGAAGTCTTTTCCTCCATCTGCCCTTTCTCTTGTTTGCATTCCCTGTACGACTTACTTCCTCTTTCCCTCCTTCCTTCCCTCTGTTGCTCCCTCCTTCCCTCGCTGCTCTCCTGTCGTCCCCTGTCAAGAAGCCAGCATCTCATCTGGAGGGAGAGTTTATATCCTCCATAATACATACCATAATGCTGTTTCAGAACATCCCACATGAATTATTGATCGGTGTGAGATTATACGTAGACTAAATGCCATCGTACCATGTATCTCTGTGTGTGTGTGTGTGTGTGTGTGTGTGTGTGTGTGTGTGTGTTTAATGTACTATTTATGTGTATCAAGTGTGACCTCTCCTCTGATCCCTCTTTAAGTCTTTAAAGCCTCGTTTTCCACAAGCTTTCCCTCTCCTCCTTCATTCTCCCCCTTCAATACCCCATTTCTGTCGACTGACATTGATATGCACTGATTCATATGATGCATGTCGCCTCTCGGCAATTCACTTTATTCAATCAATGTTGCATGGTGCTATGTTAACCTCTATATCGTTCTCTCCATCTCCCACCTCTCTCTTTTTCCCTTTATTTTCTCTGTTGTCATCTTGCTTTATCAAATCTCTGCCTCCCCTCTCCTCCTTTTTCTTCTCTCTCTATCCCCATCTCTTTCTGTTCCTCCCTTCCTCTATCTCTCCAGGTATTACTCTCCCACTCCTCCACCATGCCTGTCCGCGGCTGCCGCAGCCCCTCCCCGCCTCGCGGCCAAGCCGGGGCCTCTCCCCCTGCCCCCTCGGTCACCCAGGAGCAAGAGAGGCGAGTCCGACCCCTACATCCACCCCCACCCCCGTCACTCCACCGCCGCACCAGCGCCTCTCTCTGCCTCTCCCTCCTTCTCCTGCTGCTTTGCCTTCTCCACCTGCCCCCGGCCTGCCACTCACGGAGAGAGAAGGGCGGGGGAGGCGGTGGCGGCCACTACATCCCCATCCCCCAGCCCCCTCCCCACCACATGGCGTTGCCCAACATCCTGCGTGGCCTCAGCATCGCCGTTGTCCTTGTGGGCAACTCAAGCGAGATGGCACTGACCGGGGTTCGGGAGAAGGAGGACTTCCTCCACATGGCGCCCAACGTGGAGGTGCTGACCATGAATGAGACGGACCCTAAAAGCATCATCAAGAGCATCTGTGACCTAATGACAGAGCACTGGCTGCAGGGCGTGGTGTTTGGGGATGACACCGACCAGGAGGCCATCGCCCAAATCCTTGACTTCATTTCCGCCCAGACCCACATCCCCATCCTCGGAGTCCGTGGGGGCTCCTCCATGATCATGGCTGCCAAGGTAGGACACTCAAAGTCTTTCTTGAGAAAAATTGCCCACATTTTCAAACCGTTCAGAGCATACATTTGCAGTAATTGTGCGAAGAAGAATGTGTGGGTGGTTTGAGTGTTAAAATGTAAAGTCGGCCTCACCTTGGAAACAGTGAATGGAAAGTGTTGTGTGGTCAGCACTGGTAAATGTAGAGTCCTGCACTGCCGCACTGCACAAAATGTTTAATTTGACGGTTGTCACAAAAAATAACGGATTTGGATTTCTTTTCCGACTGGCTGCATTTTGCTGTCAATCATGGCTGGATTTACTGTAGTCCCTCCTGTGAAATCTTGTCTTGTCTAGATTACATCACTATGCAGAGTATTTTTAATCAACAAACAGAAAGTAAAGTAAAAGAAGTAAAGACCTGGCTACACAGCTTAAACAACTGTAGAAGTTTTGCTGTGCATTTTTCTAAATTATAGCAGTGTTTTGGCCTAAGGATATACTTGTCTCACAGTCCCTGGTTAGATTCAGCAGGGCCCCTACTTCTTGCAGACAATGTGGTTTAGAAGTGCCCTGCATAACTGGAACCTTTTTGCTACTTTATTGTCCTCTTAATATCAAGTTTGCCCCAAACAGTGACAGAGTTTTGACTGGTTTGGATTTCTCATCTCATCCCCGACTGCCATACTGCATCAGTATTAACTCTGGGTGCAGACAAACAGACAGACAGACAAATCAGACAGACAGGCAGGGTAAGCCGGGGTGTCTGACTTGAAAGACACACTGCCAACAGTGCTGATGCCAGTGACAGGATCAGCTGGAGATTGCACCAGAACAGAGAGCTAGATCTCTGCCTATTTACTAGGCCTTGCCTAATGGGATAAAGCAATCTGCTGCTGCTTTATCTGCGTCCGCCTGGGATCTGGGCTTGGACCCCATTCCACAAAATCAGCTCATTCATTTGGTACTTTGTGCATAAATCCGGCTGAATTAAATAATAACCAGTTAAGGAAAAACGAAATTCAACATGGCTTCAATGCTGGGAAAGTTAAACCTCTATTAAAACACTGACAACATTTGCTTCTGCTGTCGAGAACTTGCGCGACGCTGTTTGGTTCACTGTTTGACTGCTGACCCTCTGGTGTCAACAGGTCTTTGTACCAGCAGAGACATGAGTCGCAGTGACGTGGCAAGGCCAGCGGCCACCACTGAAACTCTTCTCTCTGTTCCTTCTCATTAGAGCACTAAGGAAAGAGATGGCAGGGAACCGTCCACTCCCATTTAAAAGTACACTCCTTCAAGCACACATTCAAAAACTGCTATAAAGTACACACATTTTCTCCCAGCACAATGCTCATACATACACCTACCTCGTACATGCTCCTCAACTGAAAGCTCCCATGCGTCTTTAACCCCCAGCCCCAGAAACCATGTGTCCTCAATACATATAAATCTTTTAGAACGGCCCTCCAGGTGCATGGATGCTACATTACATGTCTGTGTCTTATTTCAAGGGAAGATGCTGGGATGTGGGGGGAGAAAGGAAACAGTTGGGGGATAGTTAAGGAATGCATGGGCCTGTGTGTGTTTGTGTGTGCGCGGGGACAGTATCATTCATTAAGTACACGTGGCGTAAGTGCACCAAGCACCAGGAAAGAGCAGTGTTTTGTGGTAGAGGTTTAAATGGATTTCCCCCGGCCACAAGCCAGAGTCTGTCTCTCCTGAGAGCTTTCTCCTGGCTGCACTGGGGCCCAGGAGAGTGAGGACGGGGCTGCGCTAAGGCTCAGTCTCCAAACGGATTTGTGTCTGCCTAATGGGCTGAGACAATGGAGTGGCGAAAATACGATAGAGAAGGATCAGAGGGACAGGGGGAGAGAGAGAGAGAGTGAGAGAGAGAGAGGCATGAGGAAAATGGAGAAATTGAGATAGTGAAGATGAGATGAGGTGGAAGAAACTCTACTTTGAGTGAAAGCGGGTAGGGGAGGAGAGACAAGCGTTAGTTTGACTTGAGCCAGATCAGGTGGAGTTCGAACGGGGGCTGCCTGTAGAGGTGATGGACAGATGCGGATAGAGAACAAGGGCCGAGACGACAGCAGAGGAGGAGACAGACACCGTTCAGACAGGGAGGAGAGAGAGGGAGGGTGAGGGCAGGAAAAATGTCTCTGAAAGTGAGTGGGAGATGCAGAGAGAGATAAAGAGAGATGAGGAGGGAAAGAAAGAGTAAGGAGAGAAAACTTTTCTTCCTTACGGACAGCAGAGATGGAGAAAAAGCGATAGAGAGTAATTGTGGAAGGTAGAATGAAAGGCCCCGTTATAGAGCTTAAGAAAAATTGGGCTGCAGTGTGTGTATTTTTTTTTATTGTGAGTGAGTGGCTCAAGGAAATGGACTGACAAAGATTGGGAAATAGGGATTGCAATATGAGGTGTTTATCTTAGGGCCTCACTCCATCACACACACAAATACACACACACAGATGCGTGCACCGTCAAAACTGAAGGCCAAATGCTGCTATTACAGTTTGCAAGACAACCCCTCCTTTTTCATTACACATCCGAGAAAGGATGATAACAGGGAGCGACACAGAGGGTGGAGAATACAGCTTTTTGATTTTTAGTGCGGGCTGAAAAGGGAAAGATTTTGGAGGAACGGTACAAGATAATTCCATAAAGTGTACCCTCTGGAGTGGGCTACTGTAGTGCCGTGTGAAGAGTCAGGTTGAATCAGAATCAGAATAACATTTTTCTGCTCACATATGCATCTACAAAGAGTGTTACTTTGTATTCTTGGTGATGAAACACAAAGCTAAGCATAGCATTGCGCACCAATGGCAGATACAGTCCCCCATACAGTCCAGCTTCATTGCATCATAACTGTGTCTCAATCAGCCTTACGACTCTGTGAGTCTTCTGACATCTGTAACAAGAACAAAACTGGATTTTTTAGAACAATTCCTCTTGGGGTTGGAGCAAAACTGCAGCAGTAGCTCAACAGTAAAAAGTGAGACTTCGGCTACCGCAGTTGGTTGCATCTGTACGTGCAGCTTGCCAGTGGGAAGTGGCTATGTTCTGTCTGTAGTTGCTGCCAGTGCAGAGAAAAAGTGAACTTGTGTATAAGCTTGAAAGTAAGAGAGTTAAATAGATGAAGGGATGGAGAAGAGGAAGCCAGGCGGCTCCAGTATTAACAAGGAATGAAGAGGAAGGCGGAGGTGAATGGGAAAGGAGAGAGACGGATGGAGGCGAAGGGCACTCACATCTATATCAATGAATAAGATCAGTGAGGGAGGGTTGGGCGGTAAGTAAGAGGATGAGTGCACTGAGTGCACGGCCGCACGACTGACAAACACAGGGACGGAGAGACGGAAAGGCAGAGTGACAGAGAGCGTGTGTTTGCGGGGAGTGCCGCAGCAGGTGTATCGCCATTTATCCAACGTAGCCAATGTTACATGAAAAAGAGAGGCTGCCTCTTTGCTCAGGAAGTCGCAGCCTAAATGGAGGAGGAATGAAGGAGGAGAGAAAGATGGATAGAGCGCAGCTGTACCCACATCTGTGAAAGACAAGGCAAGATAAAGGAGGAGGAGGAGACGGAGAGGGAAAGCATCCAAGAGTTTAAGGGTGTGTGTGTCCTTGTGCATGAGTGTGAGTGGATTTGTGTGTGTCGTTACCTAGCCAACATGGCTGTAGTTGCCAGTCTTTTGTCTGTAGTGGTTTCCAGCACCACCCTGCTTGTCGTCCCCTTACAGTGTCTGTTGGACTGCAGTAATCAGTATGATCTAAAGCTTTGGCTAATGCTCATATTATCAAGACATGGTGAGCCATTTTCCTCAGCTTGTCTAGAAGGTATGGCTTTGTAGTGGTACAAATAGCTGTAGTTGTCGCTGATCACCCCAGGGCTACTACATAATACCAACAGCGAGCTAATCTGTAAGTGAGGCTGCTGGTGCTGTAGATTAGGAGAGAGATAGCATCCACTTGTGCACAGGATTTAAATGTAAGATCGTCAGCAATTAATGGAAAAAGAAGCAGCAGCCAACTCTTATGACCTGAGGGAAACTATAGTATAATATGAATAACATTTGCACACATAAAAAACATATGCAGGCAGATACATAACAACAGCACAAGCATGCACACGCCCACACACATGTGTTTTCATAAATGTATGCTAAGACATGTGTTACAAGGGCAATTAATGTATGCATATTAAATAGATAATGGAAGAAATGGTAAACTAGGTCCACCATGAGCTGCTGCTGCTTTTTCATCGTCACATACACACATGACACGAACACAAACATGGGGATGCATGCACTCCAAGGCGCTCCCACACACACAAACAAAGCTGTTCCCTGCCATCTTTTGTGTAACTGGCAGCCTTCTCCAGGAACAAAACAGCAGGATGTGATCAATTAACTTTTGCCCAAATAATTCAGGCTTTTCATCGTTTCAAATGTGGTCGTTTTGCCTGTGGGTGTCCAAGCCTTTTGTAAGGAAAGAGAGAGCAATTTTGCCATCCGTGTGTGTGTGTGTGTGTGTGTGTGTGTGTGTGTGTGTGTGTGTGTGTGTGTGTGTGCGTGTGCGTGCGCTAATTCTTCAGAGGAAGCGGGCTCGATGATAGTGTAGAATTGGTGTTGAACTGTGTCCAGTGATAATTGTTGTGGAGGATGTGTGCGTGTGTGTGAACCGTTTAATCACAGCGCAGGGGTGAATTCAGAGGTGCAATTAACGTCCATTCCTCATTTTCCAAAGAAACATGTTCCCCTTGTCCTCTGTATGTACGTTTACCCTAATTTTTGGTTACAAAGTAATCGACTTGTTTAGGCGTCATTTCCCATTCGAGGCACACTCACCACGTCCTCTTGGGGTTTTAGACCAGTGGGTTGAACATAAATGTGCCTGCATTTATATTCCCAATTAATGTCCTACAATAGCACCTATTGTTGTAGTAATCACTGAGGTCCTGTACTCTATTAATGTAATGTGCTGTTCAGCTTGGCAGCACCGCGTCCTTGCTAAAACATAGACGC